TCCCTGATGCCTCCTTTGAAACCAGGGCTCTGAGGGGCCTTGTGTTTTGGTGGTGGCTGAGCTGCTTTTAGTCTTCATGCAGAAGAGTAGATCTGACGGCTCATGTTTTACATCCCCGAGCAAGGCAGTGGGGCAGACGCAGTGAAGTGAATGGCTGCTTTGCAAAGAGCAACCTGCGAGGTCGGTGTCTGATGACCAGACATGATCAGAGCATGGTAGACCTCGTTACCCAGGTATGTACTAAAACCCCGGCATGGCACCACCAGAGAGGGATCCCATCAGAAAGGGTTTTCCCTTGTGTTAACCATGCTGCTTTCTGGAGGGGCAGACCCTTGACCATGTCTTTAGCTCTATTCTCTTCTATATCTTCCCTCCTGTGTCTCCTTTTCTCAGCAAAGAGCCACAAATGCCTAAGGGCAAAGCAGAGCATGGGACCCACCGGAGCAGGTAGCAAAAGATCTGACATTCCCTCCTCCTACCTCATGGTCATTCCTGGGCAGAATGACCCAGACAGGGAGGTGGTCTACCAGACTGCAGCCTGTTAAACACCCGTCAACACTGAGGCAGAGCTAGCCCCAAAATAACCCATTTTTGACATCTCGTCTAGCACACAGCTGTTCCAACAAATTTCTCCGGAGCTTGGATCGGAGCCTGGAGAAGGCCAGCGGGCACCGTTGGCGCTACAGGCCTACGTCACCTCCCAGCTGACGCACAGAAGGCAAAGAGCGTCTTGGCCTTTGCAGATCCGGGCCCCCGTGGGGTGGCTGTGGCGTTGGGCAGGGAGCGTGGGAAGGAATACGCAATGACGGAGCCAGTTCCAGGCTGGGAATAGGCTCGCTCTTCATTCTTTCAGACAAGCAATTAGAGCTGTCTCCCCAAGCAGTTCCCACCCAGCAAGGAGTTCCAAAATATGAAAATTCTTTCCTTTCATATTATTTTCCAGATGTTCAGTCTTCGCTTCCCTTTATTAATGCTTCTTTTGCCAGGGTGACTCATTTAACAATTAGCTTAGGCATAGGGTGTAGCATCTGTTACAGATATTGCCTGTGCCTCTAAGGCAAAGCTTCTTACCTTCATTTTTTATCAATTTCTCCTTTCCATCTAGGCCTTTAATAACATGTAAAAATATCCTTAAATTAATGGGAAGCCCTGATTCCTCAACCAGGTCAACAGATGGCTCATTTGGACCTACCTTCAATTAAGCAGGTGGGTCAGGCCCAAGGAGAAGGCAAATGCAGCTGGTCTTTTCCTAAGTCCCTCTGCAGCTCTGATGGGAAGACTGTTTGGCTCTTGTGTAGGACTGTACATTTTATCAGCCTCATAATGTGGCGTTCAAACTTCCCTTACCCACCTTGCACCTCCCAGGAAATTGTTCCCGATGGGGTCACTGAGCTATGATTGGAATGACACTGGAGTATCTGTGCCTTAGTAATGCTTAGGAAAGACATGTACCTTCCCAACGACACTCACTGCACCGTAGATGAGATGTCGGGCAACATGCTGAGCACTGGGTTTCCTCTTCTTGCACAAGCCAGATAGTGGGCTTCATGGTCTTCTACCAATATTGGATAAGTCCTGAAACCCTGACACTTCTCAGCTTCATCTCTAGTCAACATCTTTGGCTCAGACACTAGTAGACAGTGAGGACAGGACTCAGTGGTCTAAAGGTGAGCAGAGCTTGAGCCTAGTGCCATGTGGGATGTCCCACATACCCTGTGTGGCTTCCAGCTGCTCCTCCTGGAGGCTCTGGGTCTCCTGGGTTGTATCGATCAGCCCCACCAGGCTGCAGTATTCAAGGTTAGAATAGATGCCTGTGTTAGCAACTGAGTCCCACGAAGACCATCACTAATTTCCATGTTTTCTCTTCGAGTCTATGCTCAGCAGACTCGTTCACACTGTGATAGGAGTCTCAACCCAGCAGCTCTGCAAGCTCATTGAGTAAAGAAGTAAAAACCAAGTAAAAACCATGGACCTCAGGATCTGCGCCGGCCAAACCCCCAAGGGCTCTCTTTGAATAAGAACTGATAAAGATCTCAGTAAAACCATCAGGAGTGGTTACCTGTTAGGTACCATTATCATCTTTCATTGCAGTTCTTAACTCTGGTGCTTATTACGTGGCTCTTTTCCTGCTCTCCTTCAGCCTTACTCAACTCCCACTGGAGCTGTGGGACGTTCTGCGTTATCTCCAGTACCACTGGCTTCATGCAGTTGTAGACCTGCTCTGTGTCCCATGTATATAAATGATTTCTGGGATGAGGACTTAGTGAGTGCAGTGCCTGAGTACTTCACCACATCAAGAGAAAATATTTAAAAACAGAGCTTGCTCAGCGAGGCCTTCTGCTAGCGCCGCGTTTGGGCAGCTGCCCTCGACTGCGTGTGCTGCATGACAGGTAACATCGAGCCCCAAAGCAAGGCCTAGGCCTCGCCTGCTGCCTGCTAGTGCAATGCTGCAAAAGGCAGAATGGATTTCTAGACTCTCCCGTGAGTCCAGCTTATGTCTTAATTCTGGTGTATAGACACCATGACACCGTAAAAGGGATGAACTTTCTCTCTGCTAATGTATGGGTAAAAAAGGTACATAGTCCTTGCCCAAGAATTATTATTTCAACCCAAGTCACTTCAGCTGGATACTACTAGGACTAACCTGGTCTTCAAAACTTGATTATCAGGACTAAGAATATTCAGGGCTAGTAAATAAATCTGACCCCTGAAATACTTTATCTTTCACTTTTGTACTGTGATGTGACACTGCTGAAGTGCTAAACCTCATTCAGCCCCACTTCAAAGGCTAAAATCAGCAAACACAGCATCAGGAAAATCGCTTTGCGCCTCCTCCAGCTTTCCTACATCCTGCCTTAGAAAATCAAAGCGTTTCCATGGGATGTTGGCCACTTGCACCGAAATCTTCACACTCTGCAGGGTAGGAGACGAGCTCTTGTCAGGCCGCTTCCTGGGAGAGGCGAGAGCTGCTCCTTGGGGTGCCCCAGGAGCGGGAGCTCCACGACGGGCTCCGGCGTCAGGCGATGATGAGGCAGCTGCGCCTCATCCCTCTGCTGAAATGGTATCTGGCATTTTAATTACTATAGGAAAGGTGGCAAGTCAGGGTAATTTCTTGTCTAGTATCGAAGGAACAAGATGAGAGCACCCCGAAATTACCCACAAAGTAGACATGATCTACTTAACAGAGAGAATTTTTTGCAGTTGGAAAAAGGTAAAAAAAAAAAAAAAAAAAAAAAAAAAAAAAAAAAAAAAAAAAAAAAAAAAAAAAAAAAAAAAAAAAAGACTAAATTTAATTTTTGTGAGCTCTCTTTATGACTTTTGGATAGTAATGTCAAAATAACTACATTGGTTATATATGGAAAATATTACAGTCTTTGGGGTTCCCCTCCCCATAAGATAGCGATCGGATCTGTAGTGGCATTAAAATCCACAGGCTTTCTTAGTGCTGAGATATGCAATAAAAATCCAGAGTTTTCATCCCTATCTAATAAGAGTTCCCCTGTGCAACTCATGAAGCCCATTGAAAACTGTCCCTGGACACCAAAATAAGGATTCAAATGCAGGCAGGAGGCAAGGAATAGATGTGGGACAAGCTGTCTATTAACAAATCCACACACCTCCATTACCCAGAGAATATATCTCTTTAAAGAAACTTTGCTGGCATCTTAGCTGGAAGGACTTATCATCACCCACCTTCCACATTCTTACAAGACCGGACCCTAAATGATGTCTCACCTAGAGGTCTATTTTGCTCAGCTAGCCCAACACAGAGTGCTTTGTTTGCTTGAATTTTGGAGCTGCTCTGCTGAAAGGCAACTGAGATTCAATTTCATTATTCATCTCAATATGTTCCTGCTGCATTCGGAGAGCAGTTTATGGGCCCTCCTGTGGCTAATTTAGCACCTGCAAATCCCCACGCTTAAAGCCAAAGGGTGTATGACCTACTGCATAGCTCCTGCACGTTCATTCATAGCTCAGATCACGCTTTCCAGAAAGTGACTTTATTTCCACTGCTCCCTCTCCTTTAGAAACTTTGTACACATGTCATTGCTGCAGAATGAGACTGTTGGAAAAAGGTCTGGGTTCTCCAGGTGGTATGCTCAAACCTTTTGGTATTTTTACTCTTTTTGATAAAACCTGGGAAGTCCTTGAGGGAAAGTAAAGCGCCCCAAGGGCCTGGGTCACCCTTGCACTAGAACAGTTCAGATGGAGACAGTGAAGGTTGCCTGAACCAAGGCCAACAGGCTGCACCAAATGGATGAAGGTCAAAGCCATCCTGTTGTTTCTACTACAAACGTGGCAGGCTCTAGAAGTCTGAAATGAGCATTTAAAAAGCAGTAAAACTGAAACTGTTTTCTTGGCTCAACTGGCACGATATTCTCTTTCCCAAATCAGAGGATGCATATCTTAGAACTGCTTAGCCTTAGCAGTTGTGCTTACTCCCCCACACTGAGCACTTGCAGATGCTTCAGTACCCAAATAGATAAGCTGCTAAAGGAAGCTCTATATTTGCCCTGGCCCTTGTGTATTTTGTTCCCAAATATGAATTTCCACATCTTGGAAAAGAACAGTAATAGCATCCTGCATATAAATATGAGTCATGTAACAGGGACTACACTTACCCACGCTCTTGGCAAAACACTAAGGCTATTTTTCAACTCTACAATGCAAGCTAGAAATCCCTTCTAAGAGCTAATCTCTCCAAATTCAGTTTAGAGTTTTTTTTAAACTGCTGAGTATGCATGACCGAGTATTAGTTATGCAACCATAACAACTGTCCTTGTCGAGAAAGATTCCTGCATAATGCGAATACACAGAATCCAAGGCAAATATTACTTGGTCTTAAAACTTTAATAGTAAAAAAAGTGTAAAACCAAACACACCACCAAAAACTTACCAGTAAGAATGAGAATTTAAAGTGTTCAAATTCAGAATAGTGCAAATTTTCTTCACTCCCCTCCCACCTCTTCCAAACTTTTATCACTTTGGTTCACATACTTACAAGTATTGGCAAAAAATGAACTTCGGACTTACATTTTTGGCTGTATTATTTGCAACACGTACAGATTCAGTTTCAGTCTTTACAAACAGTTTTTAAATACCTATCAAACATATGTAGAGATCACTGTTATCCTTACTTCCATCTGGTGTTACTAGGCTTTGCAATTGATTTTAGGATGGTTACAAAACTGTTTCCCCACCAAGCAGCACAGTTCTCACAATGACCGAGCTGATCCCGTCCTGATCTGAGGACCTAAAATTTCTTCATGTAGTCCTGCAAAATTTGATTATGGTTTAAACATTGAGGAAGGATCTTATACCAGTTAAACTACTCTTAGCTTACACCAAATAGAGAGTAGAATTGGGGCCTGCTTTTCAGTTTAGATTTTGTGCTAAACAATGTATGTGCAATGTATGTATCTGCAGTTATTGCATTCCATCCAAAGAGTAAATATAGCCAGAATATTTCTACCTTGTCTTAATATCTTCATTTGATGGGTCAGTTTTTAAACAGATGCCTCTAACTATATCTGAAGCCATGTAAGATTGGAAATGAAGAAAAATGCATAACACAAAGGCATATCCATAAAAGTTTACACGTACACCATAACCACAAAAATTGGAGTATTTCTAAAAATTTGGGTTCAATGAAAGATACAACTAGCCTTCCTAGTTAAATAAATTATTGCTCCATTTGATTCCATGCAGCATTGAAATGAATTCAGAACCCTTTTCTCTTTAATCTCTCATTAGAAACAACAAATATTGAAGAGAATATAAGGCTCAGATTTACTGTACATTGCACTTTAATTTTAAGACCTAATACTTGCTACTTAGGTCTGTGGTGGTCTAAGCTATCAAGTGATTTGTGCTCACCAGAACTAAGTATTAAGAAACACCAAATGTTTAATGTAGTGACATAAGCACTCATCTTTTTACAAGGCAATCACAGATTGCAAGTTCTATAGGGTTGTGAAAAAACAAATAGTGATCTCTTCCATAAGCTGAGTGAACAAATTGTTCACTATTTCTATCATTCACATACACTTAAAAATAATAACAATAAAAAAAAAAAAAAATCACATTTTAGGTCTGGCTCTGTTTACAATCAAAACCCTGACTCAAACAGAAGCAAGATGAGAGGATACCTTCAGGAGGAATTTGCAAATCTTTCTGACTTCAGGAGTTGGAGGCTCATCCTCAATGCCTGTGAGCATCTGCAGTATTTTCTCCCACCCGCAAAACACCAGACATTTAATATGCCCAGTGACCCTTCAGGTAAGATCCTGAAGCAGAGGTCTAGCTAAGAAGAAATACTCACACTTAAGTTTCTTAAGTTTCTTACTGAACTGGGGACAGAATTTTATCCTCTCAAAGGTTACTGCAAGCTTCAGAAGCAAAGACGTTTCAAGTCAAGAGTTTCCTGATAGTTAAAATTCACTTGAGTGAGATTGTCAGGTATTCACCTACTGTACTGAAGTAATTTAGAAATTTCAAACTCAGTGACTTAAGAAAAATATAAATAAAAAAAAAATTCCTCCCTCCAACCCCCTCTCCCACTGAAGACAGAAACTCAATGCAGCATTACAAGTAAGGGCATGATTCCTTCATAAGACTTTTTAAAGCATTAATGCAATGCCTTTAATCTATTTTGATCACTCTTATTTTTAAATAACCCTATTTTTAAAAGATTTGGATAAATACTATTCCTATTAAACCATACTTCATCATTGTTAAGCACCATCAATCTACTTCCTTTGGGCACTGATACAAGAGCTTGTAATTAAATTTTAGTTTCCAGGCTTTAGAACATGGCAGCTGCTTCAATAACTTACACTGGAGTCTAATACTTGGAAAACTGCCACTTAGCCTGAACAGCTGTACGTAACTTGGTGTTAAATTCTTCCAGAGAACAGCCATACCAAAATGCTTATGCAGTAAATCAGGGTAAGATTTCAAGATAAGCAGTTAATTTCACTTGGCTATTCTAAGAGTGGATTAATATTTTTTTCACAAGTCATTTGTGCAGTGAGCCCATAAAGAGATTATTTTTTTCTAAATAATCTTCAATTTAAAACAGAAACGCATCTTCTTAACGTTGTTTTCACACTGGCATCATGCCCTGTTCTCCACAGATTTAGTCATTGTGTGGTTTCTCTGGAATACCCTGAAGAAGACGGAAGAAAAAAAAAAAAATTACAGTTTAGTATCATGTGACAAGTTGATACATTATCTAACGCTTTCAATAAGCAGTGAATTAACCTCAATACGACCCAGAAGATTTGATTTATTGTAAAAGGTGCTTCATAATCAGACAAAAAACAACTATGGTGCTTTGCCACTTCAGTCAGGCCATTTGATAAATACACTACCAATTACACCACCTTTTAAAAATTTTTTTCATTATCCTTCCATATCTCAGCTGCTTTCTTAGCAAAAAATGCACAGTACTTTATAGGCATTACTTTTGCCTTTTTTTATAGCTACTTTTCAAACTATGGTTTCAAGCTTGAACTACTGTATTTTCCATAAAGACTAGTATTGCACAGCCTTGACTCCCTTCTCATAAGTTCTTCTTGTAGCATGAAGCCCTGAAAGCATCTGAATGTAAAAAAAAGAAAAAAAAGATTAACAGACCTTAAAAAAAACTTTTAAGAAATTATTCGTGTTCTACAGAGAGACCTTAAAAAAAAAAAAAAAGCTTTTAAGAAATTATTTGCATTCTACAAACAAGGGTCACTTACAATGATGCCAAGTATTGACTGGAGTCACATTCCTGCAGCCTCAAGCAGTACCAAACAGCAGGTATTTGTGAGGGGATAACTCAGTTACAGTGTTGGCTACAGTCAATAATGAAAAATTGTCAACCAGTTAGCTGAGCTGATGAGCAACGACCAAGCTTATGTTGTAAAGGGGAGCAACAAGCAGTCACGGCAGCAGTTGCTTCTCTTTCAAAAGAAAAAAGGTTAAATAAAACACTGGATCCTTAAACTAGGGGCAAGACAACAGCCTGGGCTAAGAGGAGGTTTACTTAAATGCAATACTGCACTTGGTTACTATGTAGGGCAGTATTTCTGGCATGTTTCACATTTTTCTGGCCACTTAAACCAAGCAAGCATTTAGGGTAGGAACAACTATTCTCTAGCATTGTTTTATTTATCTACCAGGCTAGACATAGCCCAGTAGTTTAGGCTTCTTCAGTTAGTAAAACAACAGTTGAATGTCAACAACTCCACTCAACATCATTAAATCTCTCCAAATTTATTCTCTAAATGCAAGAGCTACATGGCGCAGGCAGAGAACCAAGGCAATTTTATTCCACTAGAATATTTTCTATAGGTGCAATCTACTCTATACATGTCCTGAAAAATACTGCTTGATTTGTAACTGCCAAATGCAGCTGAACGGTTCAGCAAGTGCAGGGAAAGTTACAAAAACATCATTTTATTACAGCTTATTTTAATGGGGCAACATTGCACCTTCTTGCCACCTCCCCTGAGGATGATAAAGCAGATTGATACTTCTGGATGATCTCCAAAGAGGATTGATTTTGTAGTTTTATTTTTCTCTTAATTCTGCCCTTTATAACACACTACTACTTTAAAAAAATCCAAAACAGAATGCTTCATAATCACTATACATGTGTTCTTATGAAAGGGTTGTGCTTCTTAAAATTGTTTCCAGATTAAGTGGGAACAATAATAAAATATATGAGAAGATATTTATGAACAATCAAGATAGAGGACTTTTGCCTTGCTAGCCTCCCTCCTCCTTTGGAAGGAAGATGCCAAAGTTGACAGGAAACCTGGAGGCAGGAGCTGGAATGATGTTAACAACATTCAGTTGAGATGCCAGCTGGGGAAAAGCAACCAACTAATCCACATATATGTGTGTGCTCATGTGTATATATCTGTCTAGAAGGATAGACAGATATATCTGTATACACACACATAAATATATGTATTATATATATAAATATAAAAAAGACGTTGGCCCTTTCTTTAAGGCTTCCTTCCTTCGCTTTCTAACACAGAAAGCACAACACCTGCAAGTGCTGGATATACCAATAAGAAATACAAAGCCAAAGCACAGAACTGACTAACAGCCTTATCCAAGGACAACACTCCACTTCAGAAAGCAGGGATTAGCTTTTTCCATTCAAACAAAAAGGAATTAAAAAAATAACTTTTTAAAAGTAAAAAAGACTAACATTCTACTCTCCCCATCTTGTCAAATACTTAATCATGTGGTGGGGGAAGGGAAAACACAGAATTTATCACTCAATTTTGGAGGAGCAGTGAGCCTGTATTTTAAAGCCTCTGAGGACAAACCAAAATTGACCGAGTTTAAGGTCTGGGACCATGGTCCCAAAAAAACCTGTAACTTGCTATCAAGCCAACAGATAAGAATTCCTTCAAGAAAAACATTACGTAGACTTCCTTTTCCACTGCTATTGGGTGCTGTTTCTTAACAGAAACAATAGAAAACATTTTCTTCAACATCTTATGGAACTTTTGTACTACTACAGAAAAAAATATTATTTTTATGTTGGTGGTCAAGCAATATGGCTCTTTTCTGCAAGCCTGTCAGCCTATTTAGGGTCAGGCCCTAACATTCTGCATTAGAAGTACACTAGTAACCGAGCGCAGGGCTAGGAAGGCTAGAGAAAAGCCTGTTCCAGGCAAAACAGTTGGATCTTTTTATTTGTTTGCAGTTCATTCTCAAAAAGCAGCTTTCCTCCTTACTGCACAGCCTTGAAGAGACTAATATTTCAGTAATTTCAAGTCTACACCCGTTTTCTCAATAAAAATTGAAGATACTAGAAAACAGCCCTAGAGAAGTGAAAAACTTGACAAATGCCTCCTAGGATAAGGGAGCTACGCAGCAAAGGTGGCAGTAGTTAAATCAATACAGTATTAAACACTGCTATCCATCAGTGTCAGAATGCATTTGACAAGCAGGGTTTAGGTTTATGTACAAGCCAGCAGCAAGGTTTACTGTAAGAGTGCACTGTAAAGAAATAATTACTTGGGAATCTAGCAGATGAGACAGTGATTTATATTACAAGGGTGGTATTTTAAATGCGTTAGCTGAACAGGAGTATTTCCTTTCAGAGGAGCAGAATACAGTGCTACATAAATGCCTTTCCATTCATCTAGACAAGAATGTCTTACTGAATGATTACAGCAAGCTCCTCTGTCCCTCCCTTTCTTAGCTATATCAGATGTTAAGTCAAACTGTTGGGCAGACAGTGACTAAAATTCTGACTAGATGTGATAGACTCATTCCAAACTTTTTCCAGCAACAGCCTATACGAGTTGTATACAAAAAACAGTCAAACACTAATTACGAAAGCCATCTCTACTGGCATGCAACGTACATTGCATGCTTATGTGTCAACTCTTGGGAAGATTTCTATGAATCTCAGTTACTCTGTGAGTCATACCCTCAAAGGCATAATTCACTCCTGGACTAACAATGATGGAAGGGATTTGGATGGTTAAAAGGAAATGCTAATTAAACAATAATTACCATAGCCAGTTGGCGTCCTATGTTTCCTACTGTCACACCTCCTGAGAAAAATATACATGGAAGCCAAGAACGGATGTAAAGAAAATCTGGGGATGTATACCTAATAAAGAGGGAAATATGTTAGAGACAAGTTATCATCATTACCTTACATGCTGTTAACAAGATGTTACAGAATTCTCTCCTCAAGCCCCAAAAGAATAATAACAGGGAGAGCAAAATAAATCAGTTATTGTTGGATAAACGGTGATTTCCAGCAAAAGCCAGAAAGCCTCTCCTGAGAGCCCGTTAATAAGAAATCAGAAAAAGATGAACATATTGAGGTGTTATTTTTCCACCATAGGTCTGAACCTGCTTCCTTGCCTCCTCCCCCCCCAGCCCCCACTGCTCAGTTTGGTCATTTAGAACACTGCAGAATCAGCAAAAATATCTTTTTATAAGAATATGCCATTAATAGAAAAAAGTAGGTACACATGCACTAGTTAAGTTAAAAAGCTGAAGTATTATTTTACAAAAGGTAACTTACTGATAAACGCCATTATATACAAGAAACTGGGTTATGAGAGTTGCTACAAAAGCTATTGTAATTCCAAGTCCAAGACCACTTCTTGAGCGATCAAATGTCCACCAAAGGCCCAGGGACAAGGCTGCTAGAGTCAAGGACAGCTGGACGTTGTTTGCAAAGTCTAGTTTCTGTGGGAAAAGGTGTTAAGGATAATGCTTTCAAATCTGCAGATTTAAAGAGAGAACCTCACTTGAAAGTGAACAAGATTTTGCATCTCTAAATACAATACGCTCAGGATCAGTTTTTCAGGCCCGCTAAGCAATCATTCCTCTTGCTGAGTTCATCTGCAGTCACAGTGTGAAGCATCAGTTCCTCTCATACTGAGTACTCAAAGACCACTATACTATTCACTGGTATATTCAATTTAAATCGATTTTTGTTCCAGGTAGCCTTGTGTACCTGCTGATTTAGGTTTTCAGCTCAAACCATTTCTGTCCAACTCAAAAAGAGCACTTTTCTGGAGCAGCTTAGTTCACCTCCCAGGTAAATATATGCAGTATTTTAATCTGTACACTGCCTGCACCTAAGCCCAAGTTACACTCTTACACTCTGTCCTATCAGACACATAGCAAGCCTGTATCTGATCCCCATCCCCAAAATGTCATCGTTAAGTGGCCTGTGCTGCTCTCAAGCTTCTGCAAAGCTGACAATGCACCAGTTGCTTCGCGCCCCTGCCAGTAATACTAACTTTACCTTCACGAGCCTCCAAAACACGGATGGAGGAGACTGTGCTGCCCAAGAGCACCCCAAGCACCCTGGCCACCACCAAGCCCAAGGATACAGCACTTGCGTGGTTAATGCCCACGAACACGGCGATGCAGCGCATCACGCTGGCCCACTCCCGCTTGAACTTGTGCGGCTCTCCGAGGTGGCTGTCGATGCAGGGATACAGCAGGCCAACAACAGCTGGAAGAAAGCAGGAATACTCCGTTTAGCCATTGCACAATGATCACTTCAATACTGCTGAGTTTTAGTCTGGCAGCAGGCGCTGGACAAGGGCTCCTAAGCAGTCAAGAGCTACTCTAGGCCGGATTAAGTTAGTTATTGAAAGTGCAGGGCAGTTACCGAGAATAAAAAAAAGGCTCTTAAAGCAACACTCAGTGCTAACATTAAAAACACAATTATGATGTAAGTTGAGATATGTCACTTCAAGCTCAACATACATCAATTCACCTCCTGACAAATGTTTGCTACACACAAATAACATGCTATACATACATAACACATACAAAAAAAGCTCAATTGCAGCAAGACAAGGAATTGGCCTTTACTGCTCACGTGTGGGGTGACAGCTAATGAATCAAGTTCATAAAACTTGTTAAACAGGCCCTGAAGTAGCATTTACGGGACATAAACGTTTCTTGGCAGCAGTCTCTTGCTTTCTCTTACAGGACCGTGTGGTTAAACTCTCCCAAACGCTGAACCCGGGCCGCGTTTCCCGCTGCCGTTTCCAGGCCGCCGGGCAGCGTTTCCAGCCCGCGGTAACGGCACTGAGGGGAGGGGGCGGCGCCGCGCGACACTTCCTTGTTTTCGGCGCGTGGCCTGTTGGCGGCGCCAGCCAATGGCGAGCGCCGGCGGGACTCACCAGTTGCGGCGGGAGCCAATCAGAGCGCGGGGGCGGGGCGGCGGGCGCGCGGCGGGCGCCCCGGCCGGCCGTGGGGACGCGGAGGGGACGCGGGGACACCCGGGACGCGGGGACACCCGCGGCCCCCGCGCATCAGCGACGGGGGGGGGGGAGGGCTCCTGCCGCTCCCCTGCGCTCCCGCCACACGGAGCCCGCCCCTGAGCTCCCAAACCCAAATAATCCCTCCCAGGAAGCAGCGACCGCGGCCCCGCTGCTGGACAACGGCGGCACCGGGGCGCGCGCGAACGCGTCGCTCCACGTCCCCGCGCGCGGGTGGAGGGACGCGGGCACTCACCTGCGGCCGTGCCGCAGCACGGCGGCACCCACCAGGCCGAGGAGAAGAGCGTGGCCATGACCTCCTCGGGGAAGAGCGTCACGTTGCGCTGCACCTGCAGCAGGTTCAGCACCAAGGCCATGAAGGCGCCCACCACGAAGAGCACGAGGCTGCGC